TTTTTTGCTTAATCGGTTTAAAGCTTGGATCGACATTCAGGTGATGAGAGATGACCTCGGGACTGATACATGGCATCTCGTAGGGGGTTTAGGTGAATATGTCAATGTTTCCCCTCAATAGATTCTCCAACGCTTTCTTCTATTATACTAGTAGTTAGCAACCGACCAAAAAAAAAAAAAATCAACTGGTATCATCTTTATCCACATAGATGATCTGAAGTTCCACTACTGCACATTCAGTTGAGCTTGTCAAAGGCTCTTCCAAGCCCAACCATTCAAACTTTGATTCTTATTTTAAGGTCAGATCGAATGCCAGCTTAGTACACTGCTCCTCGTTTATGATTGCCTTTCCTTTCACAAAGCAAAAAAAAAACCCTTGGGATTAATTTGGTCCCCTCTAATGTCAATGATCCCCCTATCAGATGGGAACCTCGAAATATGATAATAAGCAAAGGGAACCGCCATCAACTTGTGCAGCCAAGTTTGCCCAATAATGGCTTTATAGACTAAGTCTGCCACGACGAACTGGACATAGTGGCGACTGTGTATGATTGGAAAAGACATGTGTCAATCATCACAAAAAAAAAGAGTCTGAATAGGGAGAGTGCCTCTGTCTTAGAAATGGTTCAGTGTTCTGAGTTGTATCCCGACTAACAAAACAGATTCATGACGTAGCCAAACAGATGATGAAGCTTCTCAATCAACAAGAGAACAAATTAATGAGCCAAATCGAGCAATAAATTTATGAAGTACAATATTCATTAAGAATGAGACCGAATTATGGGGTAGTTAGACAACCCCAAGTAATTAGGTGTGGTGTAAAATCGATATGAAAGTTGTCTAAATCATAGATGAATGTTATAAACATTGGCTAAATAATAAGTGAACCAGAAAGGAAGCTTGAAGAGGCTCCAGTACAAATTATGAAATATTTGGCTAAAAAATTGGTGTGTCACCTTGTTCAGTCAATGGTGAAACCCTAGAAGAGGAAAAAATCACTATAAACACCAAGTAAAGTTTAAATCCAAGGTACGCATTTTTTTTCTTGCAACCTTTCATGCTTATTTTCATAGCCTTTACTGATTTAAACAACAAAGTGCCTTGGACCGGTTCACCCCCATTCTAGGAAGTTGTTTTGTTTTATAGGAAAAAGTTGCTTTCTTTTTCATTTCTCCCAGGAAAATCGTATTTCAAAATTCATATCACATCAATCAAATGTATGACATTTTTTCTTTGTACAATTGGCGCCATCTGTGGAAAATGAGCAAAGTTAACGACCCTGTATGCAATTACTAAGTGTGCTTACGCTTAGATGATGCCCCACGCCGACGGGGAGATCTCGACCTTCATGAAATTAGTCTTGTCCTTCTAGGATCGACTCGACTCTTGTGATGCAATACTCTAAAAGTCCCAAGAGGAGGAAGAGAAACTCAGACATGAAAACAAGGTGTTGAGAGAGTTCTTGAGGAGATCACATGATCAAGAAATCCATAAGGAGTTCGACCACCAGGCAACAAGGATCAAAGTAGAATTTTGCTAATTGCGAGTATAGCCCTAGCCCCGACTAGAGCCAGGGGATACGTCGAGATGACACACAAGATAGGCATGGGAGGAGGAAAGATGAAGGTGGTTTAAAATCAAGGAGCTTGACAGTCAACTAGAGCACCCCATGGAAACAATCAGCTAGGCACTGATGTGCATGATATACCCCAGCAGTTTGGGGGAATCAACAAATAAGTGCTATGAAAGTCTGCCAAGAAACTCAATTGACAGTTAGGTACAATTGTTCGAGCAATTCACTGCTTGATTTATCATCAGTAGTAGGCATCTGAAGTACAACATAGCCCTATTCTCCTTGAAAAAGAAACAAAATGAGAAGTTGCAAGAATATGTTCATCATCACTGGGAGATGATATATGAGGTAGAAATTTTTAACCCAAAAATTGTTGTTGCATTGTTCAAGGTTGGATTTTCCAAAGATAACCAGGTATACCAATCCTTGACCGAGCACTCGAACATTGACATGGAGGATTTGATGGCTAGGGTTGAGAGATATTTGAAGGTTGACAATGAGCTTAGTAGGGAGGTCAACCGAGACCAACAGAGCAAAAAATAGAATGGAAGTGATAGGCAAAATCAGTCGCGATTGGTGACGAAGGAAAAGAAGAAGTAAGGTTTCTCGTCTTGTTCATCATTCTATGATGTCAACATAGTATTCAAGGAGCCAATTTATAGAATCTTGTCTCAAATTAAGGGGAAACCTTACTTTAAATGGCCTAGTAAATTAGGTGGAGCTCTAGAGAAAATGAACCCCAACCTTGCTTTTACCACCGTGACATTGGGCACATGACAGAGAACTGTCTTCTCTAAAGAAACACCTAGAGGAAATCATTCAAGCCGGCCACCTATCTCAATTCATTGATGAAGAAAAAACCAAGACTAAGGCTACCGGGAAGAAAGAGGTAGCACAGAGTCAAGTGCGAGATCCCACTTGTGTGATTGACATGATTCAAGCAGCTACGAATTTGAACATGGCGACAAATAAAGCTACTAGGGTGTACATTCAGAAAGCTGCACAAGTTACAAAAAATTTTCGTGTCGATCCCTCAGCTGAACAAATTAGCAAGAAACTGAGAACTGAATGTTTGGATGGACAAATCAGCTTCTCCAACGAATATTTGATGGGAATTCAACACCCTTACAATGACGCCCTAAGCTTGACTTTGACGATTGTAAACTTTGATGTGAAGAGAATCCTAATAGACTAGAGAAGCTACCTCAAGCTAGTCTATGCCCAAGTGGTAGGTTTTAGTGGTAAAATGGTGTTGCCTAGTGAAAAAATCAGCTATGATTTAAATAATTTTTTTACCGGTTTTGAACCGCCCCTAATTACTCAGGGGCAGCCTAACTACCCCATAATTTAGTCTCATTCTTAACAAATATCATACTATAGTAATTTCTTAGTCGGTTTGGCTCACTGCTCAGTTCTCTTGTTGATCGAGTAGCTTTGTCATCTGTTCGACTAGGTCATGAATCTGTGCAGTTAGTTGTGATGGACGAATATTTTCTAAGACAGAGGCACTCTCCTTATTCACATTATTTTCTTCATGATTATTGACACGTGTTTTTTTTCATCACGTGGCATGTCATATCTATTCATTAAATGATCTAATCATACGTAGTCGTTCTGAACCTCTTCATTCGCAAATACAAAATACACTTGTGATATTTTTAGCGCCCCATTAATGTTTTAATCTTTTCTTTGTGACCCTTCTAAAGTTTAACGTCACTTATATTTTTTATTTTAATATTTTAACAAGTCAAAAAATGCATGAGTTATTTGTTGAATTGGAATGGTCATTCTAATTAGTCTTACTTGTTGAATTTGGGGATTGTTTTTAGTTACGTATATTGTCAAAAATATGGTTTCAACAAAATATATGATGATTTATTGGTTGACTCTTAGATTATATATATTAAAAAATATTATTGCAAAAATTTGCACCAATATTTCATTTTTTACCAACCTTGCTTTGTTATTATTTTTTTATACCTTGAACATAATGGTACTTTTAAAAAAATTTGAACTTTATTCCTAGGTTCACCATTAATATTTTTCAAAAATTTCCTGCCCTACTAAATCTAACCAGTTGTTTTTTTTTTGGTAATTAATCTAACCAATTGTTATTTCCTCCAAAAAGTTTCATTTTTGGAAAATGTTTTTTTGTATGAGCGTGAGAAGAGTGAGCTCTACTAAAAAAATTGATGAAACTCACTCATCCAACGATTAATATACATTTAAGTTATAAATTTTTGAGTTTTATTTGAAATTTATAACATTGCTCTTCATTTTTACCATCAATAGTAATACTAATTTTATTTTTTACCAACAAATCAACAAGATTGATTGAATCAACGCATCTATTTTACTCTTCTCAAACATTCAATGATTACTAATGAGTCAAACTTAATGGCTGAACTCACGTTACAAGTCCAAGGGTTAAACTTCAAGAGGTCCAGCTAACCAAGCTCAAAGGAGTCTGTATCCAGACAAGTTCATCAAGGTCAAAGAACTACATCAGCAGGGAGCATGTAAAGGTCATCCAAGAACTTCCTTTATCACCTTGGAGTAAGGGTCATCAGAAACCTCCCCCTCGCTGCCTTGAAAAGAGCCAACCATCACCTCATCCTTTGACTGAATTTCATGGAGAGCACTTCAACTGTCTCGCCCGTTGAGAAGAAGTCACCAACTCCACCAGAATAGTTATTTAGTTGCTCTTAAATTACTCAAATCTGTTAGGGGCAACTATAAATTGTAAGGTTTCACCAACACTTGGAGGGTAAGATCATCACACTCTCACTTGAACACAGTTCTCCTCTCCCTCTCAAAACTTGTACTCTCTGCTATCCAAACACTCCTGAGTTAATAAAAATATCCGACGACCCCAATCATTCAAAATAGACGTAATTCATATTAACCGAACCACTATAATTTTCGTTTTCTCTCTACTTTAATTACTGCATAAAAGGTAGTGTGCAAACTCAATTTACACATCATCAATTACAACTTTCAAAAATTTAGTGATTACGGTTTAACACATCATTTAGTACACTTTAGTGCAAATAGCTTTTTCCAAAAATCTGTCCCCACCGCCGCATTCCAAGCGTCCAGGAAAAACCTTTTCTCATCTTCAAATGTCTTCAAATGTCTTACAAATTCCGAAATCCAAAGGACTTCTGTCCGCGGTTTTTCCGACACTTCCAAACTCTTAATTCCAGCTTTTGAATTTTGAAATCCAAGTCTAAAACGCAAAGGGCACCGCTATAAACTGAAGTCTGAATTCAAAATCGATGAGGGCCGAACCTGCAACACCAAAAACAATAAAACAGTAATCCTAAATTAAATAAAACAATTAAGCAAATACCAAATAAACCAAACGATAAACACCATGTACCTTACATGAAAGGAAACGGATGTATGCAGATGCACGCCGACGACTTCAAAAATAACGGTGAACGGAAAAAGGTCAATACGTGACGGAGAACTTAACGGCACATGTTACAGATATTTCGAAGCTGGGAAGAGACGAATGGAACTAGTCATACTATTCCACAAAATACCCAATCCACTTGAATTTAAATGAATTTGAGCCGTGTTTAATTCCAATCACCACTTTAATTGAATTTTAGTCCGGATTTTAGTTTGTTTTAGGCTTACACGAGTGCACAAAATGTCCAATAACTCCCTCAATCTGAAATCCAATTGCTTCAAATCACATACAAACAAGGTACTCCATCGTCCTGTGTCTCAAATTGCTTGCTAGGGTTTCGACTTGCCGGAAATAAAAAACGTCACCAATCTCGCCGCAATCTGACATTTAATAGCTTGAATATGACGTCGTCGCCGGTGTATAATTTCTCCTTCCGCCAGAAACTCCTGAGGAGAAACTGTTACAGAAATCAAAAGGACAAACCTCAAACAAATGGATTAACGATTCACAGATCGTCGGCTTTGGACATCATAGAAAGCCGACTTGGCCTCGGCTGAAAAGATGCTCGGCGTCTCTGCTGATGTGACGACGGCCGAATCAGAGCCGCTAAAGCTCTCTTCACCCAGTCGCCTTCAACAGTACCGATCCGAACTAAGGAATTCTTCATCGCAGATCTCAAGGCGTCCAATCTATTCGGCGAGTACGAAACTGACTGGGTGTTGTTACAGTTCTTGTGCAAACTACACCGAAACGAACCAGTATGCGTCGTCGGCGAGCACATACACGTATTCTTCGGCAGATTCGTGAACGGTTGGCCATTCTTCTTTCGGAGCACCTGGTCCGCCGCCATTGAACGGCGAGGAGAGACCGATCTGTCCATCGAAATACTCACAGATTTTGACGGCAAAAAAGGTGTGAATCCATGGAGGTGCACGCGAGTCGGAGAAGTGGATCGGCGGCTGACATCAGAGGATGTAGATGAACTGTTAGAGCTTGTCGATTAAGCAAACGAAGACGACTCCAACGAAGAGGAAATGTAAAAACCCCGGGACTGTGAGAATAAAGGTTGCAACGCCGACGCGACTGATAGAACTGGTCCGCTAGATCTTCTAGAGGAATTCGCCATTGCTGTGTCGGGACAGAAAAAGAAAAGGAGAAAATATGAATTTTTATTTTTATTATATCCAAAAGGACCCTGAGGCTTTTCAGTTTGGCAAACCGAAAACTGCTCAAAGGCTGGATTTATACGAAAGGGGAAGGGTAGGCCACTGGTAATTAAGGGGAAGTTAAAGGGGTTGATTTGAAGGGAGTGTGTGTGTTAGCGAACTTAACCACAGTTAATGTGGGCCTGCGTTTAACAAGAGGTGTGTTGAAGTTTTGAGATTCTGATCTAGGCATCTAACGATAAGAAGCAGTTGTCCCTCCTGGGAGGCGCTGCCATGTTAAAAGATTTGGGAAGTGGGGCCGGCTATGGTTCGAAAAGAACACTAATAGTTACGACTTACGATAACAACGACGTGCCATTGTTCAATCCTTTTTGACTTTATGTGCGACTAGAATATCAAGAGAAAATATTCATTACAACAGTCATATTATGTAAATATTAGTATGTGCTCTCACCAATAATATGTAAATAAATAGCTCGCACATAATTAATAACTACAATTTTATGTAAGTTAATAATTATTCACTATTTTTTTATATAATTCAGTAACTATTTAAATTGAGTGCACTTTATTTATTTAATTCTAGTTATTATCCGTGTCCGAATGTATGAAGTAATAAAAAAATGGTTAACAATAAACATATTTATATTTACACCTAAAATCAAATATCAAACATAGAGGAGACAGAAAAGAATTTAAGCACACCGATTATAACGAGGGATGAGCGGTGGGTGGGGACAATGATGCTGGTGGGAGACGATGATGATTGTGGTACATAATGACGATCGTGATAATGGTGACGAACATGGGTGGCAACAGTGATTGTGGTGATGGTGGACGATGGTGATGATTGTTGATGATAGTGGTGGTGATTATTGTGGCAGAGATGGTGGTGACAATAATGGTGGTGGCAACATCGTTGGCGGTATTTATTGTGGTAGAGATGGTGGTGGGAGTGGTGGTTACGACTGTGATAATGATAGTGGTGATGGCAGTGGGGGGCCGGTGGTGATGGTGGGGTGGCTACAATGGGTGGGGGTGGTGATGATAGTGGTGATGGTTGTGGAGATGGTGGTAAGGTACTACAGGGGGTGGTGGGGGTAGTTGTGGCGGTGGTGATGGTGGTGGTGGTGGAGGGGGTTTGGGGGGGATGGTGGTTGTTATGGGATAGATACAAACACTACTTTTTTTTTAAGTACTCATGAGAAGTTATAAATCTTATAAACACTTTTAAAAAGTCACCCTAAATACACTCTTAAGAACTTATTTTTTCTTATTAAATTTTGGGTATTAATATTAGCTGTAGAATTAATTTTAAAGTAAAATTTAAAAAGATCTCATCTGTGAAAAATAAAAATTATTTTATTTATTTTTTTAGATTTAAATTGTATTATACTTTATTAGATAAATTTTATTATTAGTTGATAATATCATATAACAATTCTAACATGATATCACCGCTGCATTAAATATTTTCTCCTCGTGCAAAATGGGTAAAAGCAAAGAAGAGTGCTTTATATTACAGTTTTTTATATTATTTTCTAAAAAATTAAATTTCTCATATTACAGGTTCAATATATTAAAAATGTTTTAATATGATCTTTGAATTAACTTTTGTTGTTCATTCAATCAACATCAATAAAGTGATTTTTAACTAAATAACACAATAAAAATTAACAAAAAAGTCACATTATATCACTTTTAACAAATTGAATGTGATTTAAAAAAAAACACATTGAATGTGCAATATAAGGAATCTAATCTTTTAAAAATAGAAAATAAAGAGTTTAACCAGTTTAAATCATACTCGAGTTAATTAATCAAACTCTTTTAACATCTTTGTTGACACGACCCGTGACACATATATATGTCACAAACTTGACTATACACTATTATAACTTTTTAATTCTGTAATAGGAAATCATGTTGATGAAAAACTAATTATAATTTCTAGATAAAGTCAATCTATTTAGTGTTGGCAATAAGTTGTGCGCCAATGAATTTGAGTTAAGTCTAAATTGTATTATCATATTTTATCACCTTAAAACTATTGTCTTCATGTCATTTTTTTTTTTTTAGATATTTCTAAACAGGGTTGGGGACAAAGGAGAGCACTCCCGATAAACTCTCATTGGTAAGATCATGAGACTTCTGACCGCACCCGTTATGAATGAACCTAATTAGGCTACTATAGAGATCAACCACCAAGCCTCAATGTCGATTCCAAAATTCAAACATCTAACCTTAAGGTGAGAAGTTTAACTGGTTCCCACTAGACCACCCCACCTGATGTAGTAATGTTAATTTAACTCTCAACCATTGATTCCAATACTTGAGGATGCAATATGATCAAATCAACATATTGGATAACAAAGTGAAATCATGATTATTATTCAAAGGAGAAAAATACTAAGTTACCCTTTCATTAATGTAATATGAAGTCTTTTTTTGAAAGGCTAATATGAAGTCACTCACCCAACAAAACCTAACAAGGTTATTAGATAAGGCATTGGAATTCAGGTCACTCACCCTTTTATAAGAAGTGGATTAACCAACCTAGCTACCTATCCCATCATTTGTGAAGGTGACACTTGTCAAAATTTTATAGGAAGAGAATAAAGGAAGTTGGATAGATGGAAATCAAAGGACTGCCAAATAAACTTAGTTGCTATCCAGTTCAGCTCATTGATAAGTCATTAAATAATCGAGAGAGAATTTAACTTCTTGGATAGATGGAAATCAAAGGACTGCCAAATAAACTTAGTTGCTATCCAGTTCAGCTCATTGATAAGTCATTAAATAATCGAGAGAGAATTTAACTTCTTTTGAAGTCATCATCATATAAAACAAGAAAAATGCCAAAATAATGGTTTTCAGAGAACTTATCTGTTGAGAATTCCAAGAAAAAAGATAAAGAATGAAAACGATTGAATCCTTGGCTTCATTTTAATATTGATTTTACAACTATATTCCAATGCAGAGGTCGATTTTTAAAGATTATCTTGACATTTAAATTAGGACAAACAAACGGTTGAAGAGAATCATTCCTTTGAGTTGTGGGTTGAGAATGTATATATGCACAAAGGATAAATTACATCTTCAAACTATGGTTCTGGTCTCGTTGCACATTCCTTATGTTATGTTTCTCACATCGTTCTTTTTAACTGCTTGAATTAACTGTGCAATACTATAAAATAAATATTCACTGCTTTGTATAGAAACAATTCACATAATTTGTTTTGATATGTGATGGGCCCGGCCCAGAACAGGCTCAGAATTGCAGAGCAAGTTTAGATTACAGATGCAGATCAATAAAGGTTTAGTCACAATTTCAGTTGGATCCATCCCACTTTCCTGAGAGACCCAGTCCATCACCAGTACACGTGGGAGTCTCCATATGAGTAGAGGAAATCCATGGGAATGCAGTCATTAGAGACACATCGCCAGTCTCGCAAGATCCCTCACCTGTTACAAGGTAGGGTGACCTTCAAGAAATCACCCCATTATCACCTCGCCCGTCTACGAGGATTATGAGGATGGTGTCTCTATCAGAGCCCTTAGAGCCAACTTCATTTGCCTATAAATTATAAGTTCTGCCTACATGTGGGGGACATTACACACATCTTAGCACACTACACCTCTTGAGTAATAAGATTTTTCAGCCACCATACTCATTCCTAGTAGAGTAAGTCAACCAGACCGAAACACTTAATATTTATGTTTGCTTGTGTTAAGCCATTTTACTTCATCCTTGATTGATTTCGCATAAACTCACTTTTGTGCATCATCAGTTTGACATCGTCTATAGGAACGACTTAGTTTTCACCTTACAGCTTCCCCATTTTCACCCTATTGTCTTTCCATTTTTTCCTACTCGTTTCCCATTTTATGACTATTACAACTAGATTTATGAATCAACAAGGAAAAAATGATGATTACCCACATCAGTACGAGGTCCCTTTACCGCGGGCTAACCACGCTGTTGAGACACAACTATTTGAGACCATGTGGTTGTTGGTAAACCAAAACCAAAACCAAAAAATCCTCCAATTGATGCCCGTGGGGAAGGCCGTGCCCTAGTAGCTAGGAGGAGCCGCACCTAGGCAACTAGGAGGCACAACACCCAAGGTGCCCCAACCAGCATGCCAAGGGCCACAAGGCGCACCATCTCACCAGAATGCCCCCACCACAGCATGCCCCAGCTCCCCTTCCTCATGTGCCCGTTTAATCCTCCCATGTCAATGACCCTTCGTTCCAAGAAGGCGAAGAGGAAACATATATGGACCATGAAAGCTACTACAACAACCTAGAAAGCATCCCTAACCATTACGGCGACAAGATCAAAGAAGTATAGAACCAACTGGGTGACGTGTTTAATATCATGAAGGAAAAAGAGCCAGAAACGTTGGAGCACTTTGTTAGGCGGATTGACACACCATTCTTAACCGATATGGCCAACTACCATCTCTCTCCAAAGTTCAGAATACCGATAATAGAAGTTTTCAACGATTCAAAATATCCACTAGACCACCTAGACACCTACAAATCACTTATGCAATTGTACAACATATCGGACGAGATTATGTGTAAGGCTTTTCCCATTACCCTCAAGGCATCTGCACGCCAATGGTTTTCCAAGCTCAGACCCGAATCCATAAATTCTTTTGCCGAACTGAGAAAATCATTTGTCTCCTATTTCATAGGAGGATGTTGGCACTAGAAGCTTATCACCCATTTACTCAGTATTAAGTAAGAACGGGAGGAAAAATTAAGGAGTTATCTTACTCATTTTAACAAGGAGGTCCTCCAGATTGAAGAGCTAGATGACAAAGTCACCATGATTGCCTATGCTCATCCATTTTTTTTTTTCTGTTTTGAAGTGCCCTCTGAAGAGCATGCCAAAACTACTGTTAAAAGCACAAACATACATAAACACTGAGGATTTCACCCAAAACTAGGTGAGGTGAGTCCTCATGCGGAGAGGAGAAGAGAAAAGAGCCCTATAAAGACAAGAGAAAAACTAAGAAGAAGAAGAGGGAGCAGACAAATAGAGTGTCAACCAAGGATCGTCTCGGTCTTGCACCTTAGAAAGAGTGATAGGCCTTCACACCACTCACTGCCTCCATTGAGCATATTTTGCTCCAAATTCAAGACGACCTTGTGGTGCTCTGGTTAGGAAAAATGAAAGCTACTCCAAATTGTAGAAACCCGAACAAGTATTGTCGCTACTAT